ATATTTGATAAAGCGTTTCATAAAATCATAAACGTTACATAAAACGTAGTCATAAAATCATGCTTTTCTAGTAATTAAAACATGCATTTTGGAAGAGGTCCACTCACAAATATTCCGTCACCGAAAAGCCGCTCAAACTAGAGAGGACGAGGTCGTCACAACAAACGTACCTAAGCACATAAAGGGACTAATTAATAAAACTCTATTAAAATGATTGAATGTGGGAAAATAGACGTCGTAATCGGATTCAGGACATTAAAAAAAACCTAAGGAAGGACCTCGAGTTCCCTCATACATCGAAAAAATTGGCTGGAAAGTCGCTAACGCCGCCGTCCACAGTACTTTCAGCAGTGGCACATGTGCTCTATGTGCCGACCATGATAACCCTTCACCCGCACCTATACACCGACTTTCGAAATCTGGGAATTGGGTCCTGGTCGGGTCGAATCTGGGTTTTGGGTTGCTGGGTGAGGCCGGTTGCTGGGTTTTAGATTTGATTTTGGATTACGGGTCGGGTTAACCTGGTTTCAGGCCATGGGTCGTTCAGAATCTAGGTAGAGGTTCTAGAACTCCGTTTGAGCTTATTTCTTCACCATTTTCAGCGTTCTAGCTATAGAAATAAAGCTTAGAATGAGAAGAAGAGATTCGTACCAATTTGGAGATGTGTTGTGGCCGAAAAACGGCTTGCAAGTCATGGAATCCCTCGTGTTGTGGCTGGAAAACGGCTTGCAAGTCACGGAATCCCTCATCGAAAACTGGGTTTAGGATCCCCGGGTCATTTCTATATCTAACAAGTGAAAATGACTTAAAACCTACCTTAATCAAACCCTAAAATACATTCTAAAATGTTCTAGGGACTTACTAACATCAAGAGTAGCGAGACATCGTTGGGGGTTTGTCGGGGATGAAAGTGAATGGTGGTTTGTACCATTGTCGAGTGTTGCAGCTTTGGCCTGGGTTTGAGATAGTGAATGGGGAAGTCTTAAGGTGGTGGTGGTTGGCAAAGGTGCTCGCCAGAATGGCGAGTGGTGGTGGTAGTACATTCTTTGTTTGCAGAGAAGAATAGAGAGAGAAAGAGAGCCAGGTACCAAAAAGCAGAGGTGGGCCCTCACTGGCACACTAAACAAGCCCAAAAAAAACAAACAACATAAAATAATATCTCTGACTTGAAATTACCAATTTACCCTCGTTCTGAAATTTGTAAAAATTTGGGACAAGTCATTACTACTCGCAATGGATTACCAACCTAGTGGATGACAACTTTAAAACCTTATTTACATTGGATGGGCATAGGGATTAGGGTACCGTCCTTGATTGCGTCATACCCTCTGTATCCGAGACTATGAACGGCGAACTTACTAGGTTGGTGTTAGAAAAAGAGATTAAAGTTGCTGTCTACCAGATAGGTGCGGTTAAAAGCACTTGGTCCTAATGGATTTCAGGGGATTTTTACCATTCTTTTTAGGAGATAATAGTGGATAAGGTCAACGGGTTGGTGAAAGACTTTATGTCTGGATGGGCAATACCAGCTGGCTAAACTCTATGCACTTGGTCCTTGTCCCCAATGTGTTGTGCCTAGAATCTGTGTATCAATTTGGCCCAACCAATCTCTGCAACTACTCATTTAAGATCGTCTCCAAAGTCTTTGTTATCTACGCTAATCTCACCTATGCAGAATGCCTTTGTAGAGGATAAGCAAATTCAGGATAACATTGGAATTGTTCATGAGCTCTTCCACTTTCTCAAGCTTAGAAAGGTAAAAAGGAAGTTTAAGCTGCGTATCACGCTCGATATACACAAGGTATATGATCAAGTAGAGTGGGATTTCCTAGAGGCGGTTATGCTAAAAATGGGATCTTGCCGAGAGTGGACAAACCTCATCATGAACTGCATCTCAACAGTGGAGTTTGCAGTTATCGTTAATGGGCATCTGGAAAACAAGTTATCTTCCTCTCGGGTATCTGCCAATGAGACCCCCTATCTCCTTACCTTTTTCTCCTGATTAGTGATGTACTGTCTAGACTTATCCAAGATGTAATGACGAGTGGGTCTCTCAATGATATACAAATGAACCCTCATGGCCCCTCTATTTTTCATGTTTTCTTTGCATATGATACTCTTATCTTCCTCTAGGCCAACCAAAAAAATTGTGAGAAACCTGGTACAAATCCTAAGTTCCTACTGCCTTGCCTCAGGTTAACAAGTAAGCTTGCAAAAATCTATTATGTACTTCGGCACCAATGTCTCGTCTGACACCTGCACTCAGCTTGGAGCCATATTGGGAATTCCCTCCGTCATTGACCTCGGGGTCTACCTGGGATTTTTATCTATTTAGGGAAAATCAAAAGGGCAGGGACTAACTTACATTAAGGGGTGAGTCCTTGGCAAGATCAAGGGATGGAAGCAGGCTCCCTTTCGCTTGCTGGGAATGAGGTGCTCATCAAATCAGTGATACAAGCTATTCTTTCTTATCCAATGAACCTATTTAAATTTCTTGTATCACTGTGTAAAGAACTGGACTCTCTTATTGCTGGGTTTTGGTGGGGATAGCAAGGGGGAAAGGCGGCTCCATTGAATTAGTTGGTGTAAATTGGGGCTGCCCAAAAAGGAGGATGGAATGGGATTTAGGAATTTTCAGGATTTCAATGATGCGTTGCTAGCAAAGCAATGTTGGAGACTTATCCAAAACCTTAAGTCCCATTTGGGCTTAGATTCTGAAAGCTAGATATTTCCCCCACTCGACTTTTCTTGATGTTAAAAAAGGTTATCGTGCCTATTGGGCTTGGTCGAGCCTCACTATGAGCCCCAACACTATTTTGGCGGGGATGCATTGGCAAATTATGGATGGTAAGGACAATCGGGTTTGGTTAGATAGGTGGCTTATTGCCCTCTCTCCTTGTTGCCCCATCCCCCAATTCACTGGGCATGTTACTCCTAACACTCCGGTTTCCTCACTCATTTGCCAGACCACTCAGACTTGGGATTATGGTCATTTATAACTAATACTGAGATGAATACCATTCTGGATACCCATATTGGAGACTCTTTTCACCGTGATCATCTGATTTAGACAGCTGATCGTCGTGGTATCTTCTCGGTCTGTTTCGGTTACCACTGGATCCATTCTAAGAACACTACCCTTCAGTGAATGCCAGACATCACCCTCCAATGCTATTCATGGTTGGGTTTGGAATGGTATCTGGAAAATTCAAGCCCCGCCTAAGATCAGACCTTTTTTTTTATTTTTTTATTTTTTTTGGCGGGCGCTCTATAAGGAACTAGCAACTATGGAGGGATTATTCATGCGCCGATCGTCCCCCTCCTCGTTGTGCCTATATGCAAATCCTATGACGAGTCAATGGTGTAACTTTTCCCCTTTTGCCCTTGAGTGGAGCCTATCTAGTTTGGTGGGCCTCTTGGCCTTCAAGTTGATAGACACCAGGGCACATTCTTTGCTGTTTAGCTCTAAACAATGGTCAATTCGAATTATAGTCAAATGCCAGACAAGGATAGACTGCTATCTATCATTGCCTTTACATGTTGGAAGATTTGGAAGGCAAGATGCAGTGATATCTTTAATAATAAGTCCATTACTCCTAACCAAGTTGTGCTTTATATCTCTCACAGCCTTACTGCATTCTAGGAAGCCTATCGTCCTTTTCGTTGCCACCCCTCCCCAGGCGTCCATGAGCACCACTCAGGCTCCTTCTTGGTGGTGCCCCCCTTCCCCGACGAGGCCTTCCTGAAGGTCAACGTGGATGCCAGCTAGTTCCTTACCAATGGTAATGGATGTTCTGACGTGATTGTTCGTGACCATGGGGATTACTTTATGGCTGCAAGGAAGCTCACCATCTTGGCACCAAGAGTAGTGCTTATGAAGGCGTTGGTTTTGCTCTATGGTTGTGAGTTGGCTATTGAATTTGCTTATGAACAAGTCATCTTCGAGTCCAACTCTATGGAGGTAATCAATCCCTTAATGGGGGATATAACAAATGGCAGTTGGGAAGGATTCCCGATCTTGGTGAAAATCAAGATGCTTGGGGATTCTTTCCAAGACTGTCGCTGGTCTTGGACTCCAAGATCGGTCAATTAAACGGCGGATTGCTTGGCATTGCTAAGGAATTTGGAGATGTGCGGAAACACTTGGGTCAATCGACGTCCATCTTGATTGGTTCATGTGCTTAACAAAGATGGTTTACCCTATCCTCCGCAATGCTTATTTTGTTTTGGTGGTGTTGGGGGATGACGTGTTTGCTTTAGTTGCAATGTCTTAGCAAATGTAACCTCCTTCACTACCTTCTATCTTTTTTATTTGCAGTTTGCTTGCCTTTACTGTAGCTTTTCTTGTACTTCTGGCTTTTGCCCTGATAATGAATATTCTAGTTTCACCCCAAAAAATAAAAAAAACAAAGAACATTACCAGGCAAGCCTTGAAAGAGAATCATTGATTATTGACATTGATCTTAAATTACTTACACAAACTTTGAAAGAGAATCATTGATTATTGACATTGATCTTAAATTACTTACACAAACTTTGAAAGAGAATCATTGATTATTGACATTGATCTTAAATTACTTACACAAACTGACTTGTATTTTTTTTTTTTTTAAAGAGAAACAACTGGTAACAAGTCAAAAACATATATTTATTATGATTGTTATTATTTATTTATTGGGCAGTGAATGAAAAGAAGGTGGCATATATAGTAATTGAGGGTTTGCGAAAAAATAAAAAATAAAAAAAAAAGGGTAATTGAGATAAACGTAGATTACAGAAAGGCCCTACCATAATAATTGAAGTACACAAAATCCTCTCGTACCATCACACTCACGCCATGTGCCGCTTCATGCTTGCTTCTGTCGCCACTGCATTTCTCTCTTTTTTTTCTTTTTCCTTTTCTGGGTCCCAGACAATGCCAAATGTACACAGCCTGGTTGAACCAGTACACACTAGAGTTTCCTCTCAATTCAATTAATCAACCAAATAAACAATGGCTTGTATAAATCAATAATGCTAAAGTGCAGGTGTCTCAAATAATTTCCTCAACTATTTCTTGGCGTTCCATAGACTCTACTTGAGACACCATCGGCTTGGCTTGACGTTCCGTTCCATATTCATACAATCTCTCCCAACAAGGGCATTGGAGACAGTTGACTGCTGCTGGTGCGATGGAAAAAGGTCGAGTAAAACTTGACCGGTAAAATTTGGCGCCAACACGGATGCCGCTTCCCCACACTGGTTTAACCCAAAAACTACAAAAAGCGAAAGAAAAATCCTTCTAAGCTTCTAGTCTTCTCTCAAGAAAAGTAAGCTTCTTTGGCATTCTTCTTCAATGGATGGTCCTCAACTCTCTGCCTCTCTCCTCACACTTCTTGCACTCTCTTTCTTCTCAGGTAAATCTCTAAATTCAAATTATCTCTCCCACCCAATTCTTATATCTCCCGGAAAATCAAAACCCATTTCTCAAAATTTCATTTTTTCTTTAAATTTTTTTGGTTCTTGCAGAAGTGAACTCAGCTTCTTTCAAGCTAGTCAACAAGTGCCGCTACCAAGTATGGCCCGGAATACTTTCCGGCGCCAATTCGGCGCCTCTCTCCCCCACTGGCTTCGCGCTCAAGCCCGGCAAGTCCCGGACCCTCTCCGTACCCAACTCTTGGTCGGGGCGGATCTGGGCTCGGACTCTGTGCACCGAATACTCGCCCGGTAACTTCTCCTGCGTCACAGCCGACTGCGGCTCGGGAAAAATTGAGTGTGCCGGAGGCGGCGCTAAACCGCCAGCTACGTTGGCCGAGTTCACGCTCAACGGCGCCGACGGGTTGGATTTTTATGACGTCAGCTTGGTGGACGGGTACAACCTGCCGATGCTGGTGGTGCCGCGTGGAGGAACAAGACGGGGGTGCAGCCCGACTGGGTGCCTTGTTGACTTGAACCGCAAGTGCCCCAGGGCGCTGAGGGTGCGTGAGGGAGGATGGGGGAGCGTGGCGTGTAGGAGCGCGTGCGAGGCGTTTGGGGATCCACAGTTTTGTTGTAGCGAGGGGTACGCTACGCCCGACACGTGTCAACCGTCGGCGTACTCGCTGTTTTTCAAGCATACTTGCCCACGCTCGTATAGCTACGCGTATGACGACAAGACTAGCACTTACACGTGCGCCTCCGCCGACTACGTCATCATATTCTGCCCCTTGCCTTATACGAGGTAACATTATTCATGTACATACACGAGATGTGTTTTTTATTTCACATATAATTAGAGAAAAAAAAAAATTAAATGTATTAGCCTAGGAGGTACTCGAAGACAAGTAATTTGTTCATATTGTTCATATCGGGATGATATTATAACCTAATATGTCAAACTGTCCAAAAGTGTCGTAACCTAACTTGTCTAGGGTTTAGGATATTATTCAATTATCTTTATGAGTTATTGGAGTTGTTGAATATGATGGGCATGCTGAAGGTGCGGGGTGCATGCTCCCTAATTTGCACCTTTTCATGCGCCAAGGGTTGCTTAGAGCTACTAGCAGTGATTTCGGCAGTCCTCGAAATCCTGCCAATATGTTGTTTCAATGCCACAAAAACAGAGAACAATGTAGAAGACAAACCTGAAGGTTGATGTGCAAGTGGGGCTGTTTCTAAATGACCAAAACTTGTTGGTTAATTCAGGGTCTTGGCTCAAGGTTTTAAGAGTACAACGTTGTCAGTACAGCAGAAACTAAGATATAGTTTGTAGTTACAAGTAGAAATCTCTGTACATGATTATACGACCGCATCATTTTGTTTATTAGTGTCTGGTTTGTCACTACTTCATATAATTAAACTGGCGCTGCGACATCTGTGGTAAAACTGATCAAATTCTTTGAATTTATAAATTCGCAATGTACACTTGTGTCCTGTCTATTGCTTATCGGTGAAGTTTCACCAGTGGTTGTGAGGAAGACACCGAGTTCTATAGACCATGCCCCGTGCATTATACTTAGGGTAGTTGAAGGAGTTCTGTTAATTTGCTTCATCTATTACAATGCATAATGAACAATGGATATGTTGAGTCTTTCACGTTACGCAATTGAGTTAAGTCTCGTGAACATAACTGGTGCCTTGTCTGGAATTTTCAGTCTAAAGGTGTTGGGAGCTCGAAAAGATGGGGCAGCGCTACCACTGGTTAACAAGACCATGATGTACTTCTAAGGAGCCACCATGCAAGTGGTGCTTCCACAGGTCTGGTCTGGATGCCTCTAATCGTTCATTCTGCCTCTACTGCATGTGCAGCAGCACACATTTGGTCTTTCCAGTTTCGGTCTCTATTTATGTGCTTTATGACTATCCTTGTTTCTCACATTTCCAGGAAGGTAGTATTACAAATCCCGGGTGAAGAGCAGGTGCCACGGTCGATAACTAGCTTTACGCCTGACCTTCCTCGTTGCAGTTGCCATTAGTTCACTGGTAAGGATAGTGGAAAAAATTCCACCGTTCCAAGAAATCTTGTATGAACTCCTATATACATAGGACTGTTCGAATTTTGTGTAGTTGATCACTCCTATGAAGTCGTATGTACGTAGGACTGTTCGAATTTTGCCTCTGATAACTTGTTACTTCAAAAGATGAGTGTAATATTAGAAGAAAGAAACTCCAAATTTCTTAAATTGAAAAACTGCAAGTTCCAGTGAAGTAAAATTATACACTTTCCAGGATAGGATTGAAATGGATACAAAGATATCTGCACAAGGCATCTTGGGCTTTACTGGCCTTACACAAGTCCATTCGCTATGGATAAGCCATCCAAACCACTCGCTACGTGAACAAGTCCATTATAACACCCGAGTTGGCTATTAATACAGTTTCATAAAGTCTAAATTCATCGATCATCTAACACGGGAATGCGTTTTAATATCATACGAAGGGGACCCTATGTTACATGTGTTTGAGGGAACAAGATTCTATTCGGATTCTCTTTGTAAGGATCTTAGGGATAAGTTTACCATATCTATTCATTAGTCATTCTGCCGTCAAAAATTATTTTGAATTTTTTATTTAAAATTAAACACAAATAGTATTTAACGAAAGCTGACCGTACAATGTACGATGAACGATTAAGATGAATTAATCTCTAAGATTATCACAAATAGAATTCGGAGAAGATCCTCACAAAAGGGACAGAAGAAAATCCTCATCCGTGTTCGGGGACACTGTGAACTTGTCGAATTGGCTTAGGACATGTTACGTGGGCGGTAGTTTTATTTTAACCTCTGCTCTTAAAAAGAGCCACAGTTATTCAAATATCTGTAGTCCTTCTCTCTTTATTTCCAAATTTAGGACGCAAGTTAAGCAGTAAAGCCACGTGAAAGGTGCCAAGCTTTGCCTTTCAAATCGTAAAAGAGGAGTTTATGAAGAGGAAGACAGTCCTCAACAGAACGCAAAGTTTTGAAGAGTATTTGGGTGTACTGTATGCAATGGACTTAGGGGTGTAGTAAATTTGAATTTTAAATTATTTTAATAGATTTTTTTTAAGTGATAGATCTTAAAGAATTTTAATATACTCTACAATTCTACATAGATTTTGGCAAATTTATATAGATTTCCATATAAATTTTCTATGGATTTGTATGGACGTCTTCCATAGATTTTTTAGGATTTTTAGAAAAAATAAATAAATTTTATGTCAAAAAATTAAATAAAAAAGAGTGATTTCATCACTTCAATTAACAAAAATTCAAGAAATCTATTTCTTCCTCCGCCCATTTTCCTCTCTCGTGTGCCTTTCAATGGCTTCCAAAGAGAGTGCCTTCCGATAGCTAAAGCACCAAAAGCCGATAGTACCGAAGAAAATTCGATACATAAAACCCTAGCTTTGGTACGAAAGGGTGAAGCTATTTGTTAAATTATTTTCTATGAAATTTTAAGTCGGTATTGAATTTCTTAGAAATGTTGGGCAAAATGGAATATGGGCATTTTGAAAAATGGAGGTTTTAGTTGGTTTATGTGAAGTGGGTTTTGGAATTGGAATATGGGTTGTGATATTGGCTTGGTGAATTTTGATGATTTGAGTGTGAATGGATCCAAAAGGCTGCCACGAAATTATTGCTCTACATCTTCTTCTCTGCAATCACCTTGGCATACTCTGTATGGCAATCCATCACCTTGGCTTTTGTTTTTGTTTATAGTTTGAACAGTGATGTTGAAGGCAATGATAGGGAAGGGAGGGACGGGGAAGATGAATGTTCATCTTCTGTGGTCGCGTGAAAAGAAATATGAGGGGGAAGGGTTGGAGTCTTGATTGCCTTTGGTATATATACCACCCGCCTACAAATCCATCCAAATCCTTCACTGATTAAAATTCTAACAAATCTTTGACATTTTCACTACACTTAAATTTAGATGTATTCTTTAAAATTCTAATTGACTACTCCTGAATTTTGATGTATTCTTCAAAATCTTTTTAAATTCTAATTTGACTACACTATGATTTCAAAGTCCCTTAAAATCCATTTTAAAAATCTAATTGACTATACCCGGATTTTGAAGTTTATTAAAATCCTATCAAACCCTAATTTGACTACACCCTTAGAGTTGAGTTGTCCGCAAGTAGGGAATTAATAGGAAACATATCCAAACTTTACTACCAGTGTTAAAAAAATTGTCACACCTCTACCCGCGAATAAGGACTATTCACGAGTTAGGGTGTGAGCCACATCTTAGCTATAAAAATAAATTCTACAACCAAGATATGGTGAAAAATTAAATTAAATTATAACGATTACACCATATATCACATAACAAAATCTTACATAAAATCTTCCAAATACGCAATGGAATAACAATAGTGCACAAATTAATTCACAACAAAAACTACCCATTAAATAATAATTAAATTGTAACAATTCTTTCAAATGCATGAAATATATGCAGATGAGATGGATGAATGTACTCACTCCCATCTAATCCCACTAACACATACCTAAGACATCCAAGTCTGCACGTCACATACCATGGTTATACCACTTCGCTCCCTATACCTTAGAATATGAGTTAACTCCCGTTCATCTCTTAAACCCAATTTTCAGAATTAAATTCTCAGTTTCCACTTTATTATATAGGCACTTCCCTTGGCGCTAAATGGTATATTCAAGCCCTTCTCCCGACGCTTGACATATACAAGATTTCATCATTATATATTTAAGGCATTCTCCACAAGGTTCTAAAAAGCGCTAGACGCTAGTCAGGCAGCGGGTAGGGGTCTCGTGCCTAGGCGGATTTGATTAAAATAATTATATATATTATATAAATTAGTTAAATTTACTATATAATAAATAAATAAACATTGAGTAATATGTTATTTTTGAAAAGAATACATATATAATGCAAGAGTATAATATAATTTGGTCTTTAAAAAGAAAAAATAATAAAATATTATATTATAAGAATATAATATAATGTTGTTGTAGAACAGAACAAATAATAAAATATTACTAAATAATTTATATAATATATTTATTAGTGGACAGTGGGTATTTTTGTTTATGCTTTTTTATTATGAGGCTAGTGAACTTTCACACAAACTAGGCATTTTTTCCTCTTTCCCGATTTTCCCTGCTACCTAGTCTTTATCTCTCACCTCGAGTTCTCCGTTTCTAACCCTTCATCTTCATCTCTTTTAAAAACAACAAATCAAAACAACTCCCTCTAACCCTCCATCTCTCATCCTCACATCTCCCTCTCACTCCCTCTAAGCCACCATGGTAATTCTCCATTTTCATACACAGAAGTTCTGGGAAAGAGATGGAGTCGCACCAACTTTGAGTTTTGATTCTGTGCGATGCGGTCGTACTCCTCCATCATGTTGTCGACGTCCTCTTCGATGGTGACAGGGATCAACGAGTCGAGTTCCTCATTCAACAGCTGGTACTTCACAGTCACGTCACTCAACCCTGCCGCACGCCTGCACTAGTCAAGTCTGCAATTTGCACAGACACAGAGCGAAGAGACAAGGAAAGACTAGCGCAGCCTAGCACTGCCTTGCTTCGTCTAGTTGGCCACCTAGATCCTTTCCAATTTATTGAACGTTTTGCCCAAAATCATCACGGAAGCCCACCACCCAGCGACTACGCGGCCGCCTAGACCGATTTTTAGAACATTAATTCTTTAGCCTTTGAATATCTTCACAACTCAAACACTTTACACAAGTGAGCACTTGACACATCATAACTTTTTTTTCTTACTTTGCATTAATGCTTACGTGTATGCCAATAACCATAGAATCTACAATACTAATCAAAATAGTTAGTAGCCAAAATTATATTACATTATCAATAATAAAATAATAATAGCACACAACAATATAATTGAGAAATATTACTTTACCATTTTACTCCATCTCTCTAGATAATATTGATGCATAACCCCATTCGGGTTCCATAGAGCAATTCTATTGGAATATAGCTTGCTCGGTTGTACGAGTCTTAACCCCAACATCGTCATTGTCGGTCATAGCTCCTATTGGTGAGGTTGACATGATGACCAAGAGTATCCATTTTTTGTTCCTTTCCTTCCTAATGTTGTCTTTCTTTCAGTTGTAGTTCACGGTGAATGACTTGCACAAGTTACTTTTTTTTTTTATTGATTGATGGTGTGTTTTCATAGCTCTTGCTGGAAGGGTAAAAAAGCAGATAGTAAAATAAGACTAGTAAGTAAACAATCACATTCTGATTTTGTTTCTTTTTCCCGTGTGTTCTTATCTTAGTTCTTCTCCTTCATTTATAGAGAATGGAATCATATCAAGGCTGCTACTTCTAGATGTTAAGGAGATATTGGAACACATCTGCACTTGCATTTCAAATCCATATGTTCTCACCTCATTGGAAGATTTGGAACAAAATTGAATAGAGAATATTGCAACCAAATGATTAAGATTTTTTCTAGACTAGTGAATCAACACTCTAAAACCACAAAATATTGCCAACTCATGCACTTAGACACACGTATAAGCTATAGACTTCCACCTTCACATTCTAGAGTGGTGAATAATCACTAATCATTAATTCCTAATGATTACAAACTTGCCAACTCACCTTATGTAGACTTCCACCTCTATTTTAGAGTGATGAATAATACCTACGCTTTACTCTCTAATGATTGTCAACACATCATTGTGCCTTTGTGAGAAAAATCAAGCCAAACTCTTCATAATTCCTTTCTCCAATTCAAACTAAAAATATCCCTAATTGCATATGAACATGAAAAAATACTAACTAGTTTTTGAAATAATTTTGTAGCAAAATGAATTTACTTGAGACTAGTTTACATATCAAATGTATAAGTTCTTGTACACATAGCGTATAAATAGAAATTCAATAAAATCATTACATAAAAATAACTTCGCACATACGCACACAAATATATAATATTTTTTTTTTAGTACAGGGTATTACAAAAATCCCACCTAGCGCTGCCTAGGTGCTAGGCAGTAATCACCGCCTCAATTAATCCCCAGACGTTTAAAAATTATGAACGCACGCCTAGGTGTCCAACTAGACCCGCTTAGGCACCTGCCTAGGTCGCAAGTCTGACTAAGAGAGAAAATAGATAATTTTTATTTTGCATTTTATTTTTTCAATAAATTGTAGGAACCTTGTTGAAGTGGATAAACACTCATTATATGCTTGTTCATTATGTTTTCATTATATT